ATATGATACCATATCTGTTTGACCGTGCATAATCTAAGAGAAGATATCAGTAAACATGATCGACATGTCATTTTGTATGAGCAAGAAAAGTTGCGTCGATCTACATTATTAGTTTTTATATTAGGTTTACAGAAGAAAAAATTATGGATATCATAGTTATTATCTAAAATACTCAAAAGTTATGCATCCCCAAGATTATTTAGCCTTTGAAAAAATTTTTTAGATTCAACAGAAAACAAAATAAATACACAGAAATGTGCAGAATTTCACGCTCTATCTTTCTAGCCTGTTGAAAATGAAATATAGGAGGTGGTAGATTTACGATCTTATCCGGCGGGGTCCTTTAGCAAGTTATAGTTGAAGAAACTTTAAACTATGTAGCGAAACGGCCTATAACGACCTTTTCGAGTACAGGCTACTTCAGAAGAAAAGATTTAAATCTAAAGCTTTTAAAACAACTGAACCTTGAAGCTACCCTGAGAGTAAAGAAGTGATGGTAAATTACGAGACAGAGAGTCACCAAAGATCTGAATTATATTTCATTTACATTGAGTTGAACATTGAACATTGCTTTTACATAATCACAATCATTTGGATTAATTGAAGTGTTGCTTGCTGTTCCTGTGGAGGATCTCTTCACATCAGAAGTCAGTTTCTCCAATCCAGACCTATATAAGGCTGCAAAAGTGGCTGTTTCTACTAAATCTATTTGTGCGTTTGCTTTGGCAGCTGGATCACCTTCTCCCGAACTCAAATTGACTGCTGTACCAGCAGCTGGATTATCATCTCTTGGACGCAAAGCGACTGCTGCACCAGCTAGGGGTCCACCAGCGGCTGAGGCAATAATGATCGGTCCTACTTCATTTATCACATTATTCACTGCATCGCCAAAATCTTGGATAAATTTATCAAATCCAACAGGAATTGCTCTTATTGCCTCTTTGTATGTATCATAAGCCTGTCGTGTCTTCTCTTCTGCTGCAATGTACGCTTCTTTCGCATGTTTTGTTATATTAGCCAAACGTGCTTCGAGGACGCGTGAATTATTAAGTTCCATTTCCGTCGCTTGCTTACGTTGCTGTGCAACACCTTGAGATTGACCGGTTGCTGCGATGACTTCGAAGAGTAATTCCATTACTTCCAGAAATGCTTTGTGTGAATCTTGTGTCAGATCAACACAGATGCTAGAGATGCGTTCGAGCTCTCGTATAGTTCTCGGCAGCACACGTTCAATGATTCGTGCACTTGGCGCAGTTTCCAGAACATTCATGGCCGTATGTATATGTGTTGGAATAAGCTGCATATATAACTGAATCTTGTCCATATTCTGATGAGCTTTGCTGAACGCCTGCCAACCTTCTATTAAAGAAAGCCTTCCTAAGTTTCTAGTATTCATAACGCGTTTTGTATATGAAATATAACTTTCACTCATGCACGAATATGTAAATACACCAACTGTAACAAAATTGTAAACACTCTGCCTACGTAATGCTTAAAACAATTAGTATTGTATTTTGGAGACGAATACATTTATGTAATGCATTTATTCATTAGATAAACGAATATAGGGCGCACACAGACAGAGAAAAGTGCTGCCACATCATTATAGACTTCTTTTAGTTTTTTTTATTTCAAATTCTATACTATCGATCAATGTTAACACGAGTATATCGACTTCTTACTGTTAAAGTTTATTCTATTGTTGTTGAGAAACTATACTGTATTTTCAGCAACAATAGTCGGAAGAAAATCTATTGATTTTGATTAAAAGAAGAATATTATTGTTTTATACCATGTTGATTTGTCTCAACATAAAATTTCTCATCATTGTATTTGTCAAACTATTTTTAAATCTGATGACCTCTTTATAGTGACTAGGATATTTAAAGCTGGAAATCCATCAAAAGCGCACGATTAAACTTCAGTAACTTCAGAGCGATAGTCTTTTGTTGACTGACCTCCTTCAATACACTTAAATAAATTTGTATCTAATAATCAATTGTCTAACAGCGAACTCTATTCTTCTGGAATTTGGTATAAAGGATTGCTATATGTATTCCGTTTTACTTTTGTACGACATTAGAATTTTTAAAAAATTTTCTTCTCATAAACCGATCTCTTACTTGAAAGGAACTGCGTCTTTTATACCACGCGTAACGTGTCTGTAGGAACTATCATAGTGGATATGTGTTACGGGCTACCTCACAGATATCATATTTTGTTTGCACTCTATTGTTATTTTCTTTTCCTTTTTCTTTTTCTCTTTTCTTTTCACTATTGTGATATATATATATATATATTGTTTTCCCTGG